GCAGCTGCAGCAGCCGTGCACAGCCAAAAACAACAACACCCGTTCTTGTCCAGCCATTGAACAGAGCAGCAGCACACAGCGGCGGTCAACAGCAACAGTAGCGGTTGTCGGCAACAGCAGTCCTCAGCCGCTTTCTTCAGCGGCTTGTAGCTGCATGCAACAGCAGGCGGTAATAGCAGCCTGTACGCAGTATGCGGCCCGCGTATAGCCAACAACAGCAGTTATCGCACAGTCAGCCAATAGCTGCTGTCAAGCACAGCCAACCGCAGTTGTAGATCCGCAATGTGCAGCCGTATGGTGCGTTGCGCAGTAGCCTTATACCATCGGCCAACGGCAATCGGCAGCAGTACATGTCAGTCAAGCGGTCCAGTAGCAGCCGTCCGTGCCCGACCAAGTGATCCAGCCGCCGATATACAGTAACTTGCAGCAGTCTGTGTACTGCCAAATGGCCAGCAATCGGTCGTGATGTGAGGCAAGTCGTGCGCAGGTACCGATTTTCCGCCCCGCCACTTCGGCTGGGGATACAGTCAGTGCTTTTCACTGCTCGACAGTCCCTAACCTTATTGTTGTCTTCCGCTGCCTCGTTCGATTGTTCGGGCAGCCTCCTTGGCTTGCAGGTAAGCTCCCAGACCTCACCCCTTAGTCTCTGGCCACCCCCTGCAGCGGCCTGAGCAGCGCGACGACTGAAGAAACAACAGCTTAACTATTTATCGCCTCACTCGTAGTTATAGTGCCACGATGGCATCCCTCTACTTGGCTGGTGGCAAATTCGCCCATGTAGACTAGGCAAATGAGAAACGATACCTCTTGAATGCCACTTGAGTGCCTTACCAGCTGAGTCAGGCCTAATGGACCCGACTTCGTATCTGCAATCCAATCACTCCAAGCCTGCATTTGCTGGGCAGCCTCCCCATATGTGGGATGAGAAGGAGTTTTCCACGGATACAAGCAGGTACTTGTCAACTGCACTCCTTGCGCACCACCAGCAGGTACGTTCTTCACCTTTCTCCCACTTGCAGCAGTTCCTACAGTATGGACGCACCCGGTCGTTGATGTAGCCAGGTTCATTTGCACCCTGCTATGGGCCGTAGGCAGGGACACGACCGAGGCAGCGCCCAGCGCGACTTCAGACTAACAGTAAGCCAGGTACGCACACCTCCTACTGTCTCCCTCCTCTCTGATCTCAATCGCTTGCATTGCCCCCCCGCACACTTTTACTCCCCCGCCGTATTTGCTATATGAACTAAGAGCGAAATTTCCCTTAGCATACGGGAAGGCACACTGCCTCCCCGCTGTGCATTTGAAAACGTAACAGCTGCTATTCTATAGCTAGATTCACCAGAAGAAGAACTCCCATTAAAACGTGAGGTTATACACTTATGACTTCAAAACTGCCCCTACTTGTTTTATCCGGAAAGGGGAGAAAAGGGGGAGTGAAAAGAGCAAAAAATAATAATAATAATAATAATAATAATAATAATAATAAATCAAAAATAAACGGACATAAAAAAAAATCCAACTTTTCCACGGAGTAAACCACTGGCCCTCCACCAGTCACATGGGCCGGGCCCGCCACCCCTTATCGCAAAAGTTGAGGGGGATAGCCCTGGCGGCCCTCTACCCCTTGACCCTCGCCTCGTCGCTTCGCTGCTCCCGAGTCGCTGCCTGCTGGCCTCGAACCCCGAACCTTCGTATCCGCAACCCGACGCCGTAACCTTTAGGGCTAAGCCCCATCTTGGGATCAGCAGGCGGTGGATCCCATATGAAATGGTACTGAAGTGAGGCAGTCCAGTACTTAGGGCTGAGGAGGGCGTCGTAGGCCTTACCCCCACCTATTACCGGGCGCGCGACTACAAGATAATCACGCTGGCCTCCCTGATCGTGCCACGGCTGCCCGCGTACCATCCCACATATCAGCCCTGCCGCCGGTCAGCGTAGTAAACGAGGGTCAGTCCATTAATCCCTGGCCTAGTCAAGAGTGTGACGTCAAGTCGGACGCCTGCGTCAACACTATCATCAAAGGGGCAAAATCACACGCGCGCCTTGAAACTGCGAGCCCACTCATCCTCCCTACTTAGACAACCTTGGTCCATACATAGGTAACCGTTTGAACACACAGGCCTGGACCCTTGGCCCCGCTGTCACTAGCAAAAACCAGGGCGGATACCCTTGCAAGGGTATTCGCGCCGACAGCCTACCGGACTATATTAAGCGACGTCCCCGTCGCTTCGCAAGATCAAAAAGTTATCAAGCCATCCATACATAAAAAATGCTGACGAAAAGGAACCAATCCGATCAGCGGACAGACTCAGGTTCGAGGCCCCCAGCGGTCCATGTCCACACAACTATATGCTGCCAGGGTTTCAACCTGGGTCTCCATTGTCCTGACACTAGGACGCCGGTGTACTACGCATCAGTACTACAGCATAAGTTCCAAGAACCCTCGTACCCGTCCTCGTCCCTTTGTCCTAGACAAGCACCGGCCTCTCGTTGGGTGTCCCCAACCCCCTTTCTGGTAAGCAGGGTCATAACTGGGGACGCGGGCTCTAACTGAGACCTTTGAAGGCTTTCTGTGTTTCTCTCAAAAATCCCCTCTCAATTTGATACATGATTATGTGTGTCCTTGACTCTCTCTCAGCGGCTTCCGCAGTCTAGTACGGAAGCGCTAGGTCTCCATTTTGGCCCACCATAGTCTGGTTGATCAGGCCAGATCTACGGCCCACTGCGTTGTTATTTTGGCGGTAGTGCCCTCGCAGGTTGCGCCACGATAGGCTTTCTCCTGATAAGCATTCAATCAGGACTTCCCCAAAGACTCATATGACTCGACTCCTATCCCAGGCCATTCCACAGGGGTAAAGCCTTCCCGGGCGGCCACACCCTTTAAGCCTTTGCTCCTGTGGTCAGATGTGAGCCCGCGGCCAGGTTGTGTCGGTCCGCGGCCATCCCTAGGGGTTGTGCCCTAGCGGTGCTAAAACTTTACCGTTTGGCTTGGTCTTCCTTATGTGCCTTGAGGTTAGCATGAGTGGCCGGACGGTGCGTCGCAACTAATACAGGCCTACTGCAGGACTGCGCATAGGCTTGTCACACATGACAGGCATTTACCAGCTCTCTGTAGGACAACACAGTGGGGGCATGGCCACCTCTCCACATTTACAACCATAGGGCACTGAGATCCACCAGGCCGTGACTCCCTAACTTGATCAGGGTAGGAGGGTCACACACCTCAGGGACACCTCTCAAAAGCAAACATTTTCGCGACATTCTCAAGAAATTTTATCGAGTGGTCATTTAAAACATGGTTCCTTTCGTCAGTCTTTCATCTTACCAAACCAACTTTTCATGCCATCATGTCTATTAATCATCCTCCCTATGGGGAAGGTTTCACTCAATAGGTCTGTCAACCAACCCTTTCTTCCTTAGGATGGGTCCTCACATGACCTGTGTAGAACATCTTCCATTTCTGACGATAAGTCTCCCAAATAATTCATAGTGTACAATTCAATCATGGCAACAGTACAACACAAGGGGCCAACTTATGGGTCCCTAATACCATTTAGATACTTAAACATTTGGCATGATAAGCTTTCGAGTCCCAAGGACTCATAGGCCCGCTTTGGGTTTTTGCAACTTGTTTCACAAAAACAAACTGCGCTCCCTCTCCTTATACTCGGCTCTAACATCTGCTCCCAGGCAGATTGCGAGAGTATACCGAAGAGTAGACAGTTTTATATTTACTCACAAGGCATAAGCATATGAGTTGTTTGTCACACAAATCCCACACAAATTATCATACATCAGAAAGCCACACATGTGAGAGCGAGAGTGACCGTCATACACAGGGGGTAGTCTCAAGACCTCGCTCAGTTATACACTCAACAATAGAATGTCTCTCAAATCTCAACATCAACTCTCAAATGTCCTGCCCCTCTCTCATATCCAATGGGCTCATACCCTAGATGTTACTGACTCTCACATCACCCATAGGTAGACTCTAATCTCAAAACAAAACGCAATACAACTAGGTGTCCTAAGTATCACACAGCTAAGTCTCAGTCTTTAGATCCCAATGCGAAAAAAACCTCAAAACCTTATTGTACATTGGTCCTTTATCGCATATAACACCTAAGATACATGTATCTGACTCGTGATACCCTATGCCCTTGACTTTACTCTTTTTATGTACAGAAAACACCTCACTGCTACTGGCGTATAGGCGAACCAGCTTCTCACTCACTCATCTCCTCCTGGTTTTGCCTATACAACTGGGCTCGACCCCCATCCGGAGCTCTCTCTACCACTCGGCCCTGTCTATCATACATCTTGCCACCTTCTTCAGTAACCCGCCCCTCAGCCTTGTCCTTAAGGAATTTAGGACAGTCCAGGGCCCTATGCACTCCGTCCAGAAAATAGAAACACATAGCCCCAAATTTCCTTTGAAATTTCTTCTTCTTTTTCTGGGTCTTTGGCGACGGAGGCGCCTTTTCCTTCTCCTTACTCAGTCCATGACTCTGGGGCAGGTGCCATGGTCCTTCCGCTTCTCCTTCGATTCCATAGGCGCTTGACTCCCCTTATTGCATCTCTCCCTCGGCTTGGTACTCAGGGGTATCCAATCTCAGTGGCCGGCCCTTGCGGGTTACCTCCAATATGGCTTCCTCCTCCCCCTCTCTGGGCCCCAGAGCCTGGGGAGTAGTGGCTCTAGTAGGCTGGCTCGTGGCCTCCTGCTGCCGCTGCTCAGTAGTCGGTCCTCCCGAATCGGTCCCAGTGGCCCACGAGCCCAGTTGTACCCTCAACTCTTCCAACTTTGGTTCGTGCTCTGGGGCCTCCAGCCCCTGAGGCCTCTCTGGCGGCATATCCACTTCCATGGCAGCAACCAACTCGTCCAAGCGCGATGGCTCCTCCCCTTGTGCCTCCGGCCGTGGAGACCCCACCGCTCCAGTGAGTGTCCCCTCCTATACGTCCAAAAGGATTGCCAGTGACTCCTCTGCCTCCCCCTCTCCTACTGATGCAGGTTGGGGCTCTTGGGTCAGCACCTCCTTAGGAACATCTGCCGAAGTAGCGGCCTCCTGCTGTGAAGCCAGCTAAGTGGGAGCCTTGAACTCAAAGCTTCCTTTGTTGGCTTCTTTTCTGGCCTCTGCCTCTGCTGGGTCCAGAAATACCTTCCCCAACTTCTCTTGCCGAGATGCCTCTGCTGCCTCCTCTTGGCCAAACAGCCCTTGCACCCCCTTCCCTTGGATGCCGTATCTGCTCTGCTCAGTCCAATCGATCACCTTGGTGGCGGTAAGCTTTTCCACTGCGGCCGCCATTTCCTTGAGCTTTGCCTCCCACTCAGCCTCCTTCGCCTCCAGGCGAGTTTGCCTGGCCTTGCTCTCGGCTCTCTCCTCTGCAAGTTGGGCAGTCAGCTGTTCCACCTCATCTTTCCTGAGAGCCAACTCGTCACTAAGCAGGGAGTACCTGTGAAAGGCCTCCATGGATGTCTGCTTTATCCCCTTGTCTACCCATTTGATGGCCTCCCTGGCAGCAGAAAACCCCAATTCCCCAACCTCTATCGCCTCGTCGGCACCCTCAATCACCTGGCCCGCCTCTCGTGCCCTCTAGCGAGCTGCCTCTCTCTGTCTCTCATATCTGGCCCATAACTCGTCAATCCTCTCTTCACTTGTCTTTGGGGAGACTGGTGGCCTTGGCGCTATCCCTGCAGCCTCCATCTTGTCCCTGCGCTCATGTATCTCCTCAAGGCGAGCTCGTACCCGAGCACGCTTTGCCTGGGCGGCTTTGTCTGGCTCCTTTCCTGTGCCTGCCTCCGCGACTTCCCCAGTCGCAGCCTGCGAACCCTCCCCTAACTTAGTACCCACTAGCCCCGATGATGGCCCTACTGGGCTGGTCTCCTCAATGTCAGGGCGCTCGGCTGCGTGCGCGGCTAAGCGTGAGTCGACAATCAGGCGGGGCTCCGTCCTCCACCCCTCCACTGGCCCTCTTGCCTCAACCTCCTGCCAGGGTGACATAGTGGCCTCTGGTGGTGGTACTGGGGCCTCCTGGCTGTCTGGCCCCGCGACGCCCTCTGGCCAGGACCTCTGTGTCTGAGCTCGAGCTGGGGAGTCAGGGGGAGTGTCACCTTCCACCACAATGACATCTTCCGCACCTACCCCCTTCAATATGAGTGGCTCCGCCTCAGGCTCTAGGCGAGTCTGCTCCCCTCCTGATGGGTCCGTAGGGTTCTCTCCTGTTGAAGGGGCCTCCCACTGGGATGCGTCTAAGTGGGCCTCCAGACTCCTGAAAGGCGTTGTTGGTACCTCGCTCTCCCTCTGCTCTGGTGCCTGTGGCGAGGGCCCCAGTAGGTCATCCTCTGTAACTTGGTGGAACTCCACCTGCCTGAGGCCACAAGCAGGGAAGGACTCGCTTGCACTAGCCGGCCCTACTTGTCCTCCTTCTCGTTGTGCTAGGGCCTTCCGACCACCTCTCGACGTCACCGGCTCTCTTGCCTCCAAATCCCTTAACCTCTTGCTTCGCCGCCTTCTGTCAACCCTTGGTTCTGGCCTCTCTAGTTCCGGTCGCCGAAACGCCACCCTCAGCTGAGCCCGACAATCCTCCCAATCTTGTGCCCGCCTCTAGATTTGTCTTACCAGCGGACGCTCCGCCTCTCTGGTCCAAAGGCGCAGCGCCTGTACCCACTCATCCCTCGAAACTCCCTGATCGCTCATATACCGTTCGTATGCTGGGATGAATTCCTCCGCGTTCCCTTCCTCCAAACGAATAGGTAACCCATCATTCCCCAAAGTCGAAGCTCTCAGTCTCTGCATCCTTGCTTCTACCTCCGACCAAGTCAGGGCCTCCTCCCTGATCTGCGCAATGGGCTCCTCGAACCTCCCAACTCCCCTCAAGTGACGTATCCTCTCGGCCACGTCCCATCCTCTCCGGGCTGCATGCTCTCGGTAAGCGTCCAGGAAGAGCTCGATGTTGTCGTCGTCAAACACGGGTGTAGGCTCCCTCCTGAAGGGCCCATGCCGCTCCTCCCCTCCGGATGCCCCGAGAGGTCTCTGTCGTGGCCGCGTGCCCCGCCCGCCCCTCTGCATGGCTGCCTTCTATAAAGTCAGACCTGCACATCAGGCGAAACGAAACAAACAGGCACACGACAGGATCAGCATATGGGTCCAACAGTCTTCAGAGCAGATATACACCCAATCTCAAACACATCAAACCTTTCTTTGCTTCCAATCATGGCATGCAGTACTTAGGACGAGGGTCTACTCTGGGAGGGATCACAGCGGCTGGGAGGGATTGCGGCTTTACCTATTCCCTGGCCACAAACTTTTTCAGCCTTGTCCCGGATACCCAATCTTTCCACTTTGTGCCGTTTAGCTCTTCGATCTGGTACGCCCCAAACTCGCCGCATCGCACAATCCTGTAGGGCCCCAACCATCCTTTGTCAAGTTTTCGTGACCACTGCTTTTCCAGGGATGAGTCGTATAATAACACGCTATCTCCCACTGCCAAGGGCTCTTTCCGCACTCGCGCCGTTTGATCCCACCTCATCTTATCCTCCATGCGACTTCTCTCTACCTGACCAGCGGCCTCTCGCAATCTTTCCTCGGCCGCTCTAAATTGCCGCGCTCGGATATCGAGCAGCTCCTCGAAGGACAGGTTTACTTCCAAGTCCTCGCGCCTCCACGTTTTCATAAAGCTTTCTATAGGGAAGGTGGCATGCCTCCCATACCATAGCGTGGCTGGCGCATACTTGGTAGTCCTCTTCACCGTAATATTCTCCACGAAAAAAGTCGCTCGCAGGAATTTCGGCCACTGACCAGGCTTGCCCTCTGTCCATTTAGCCAAGAGGTTCGTGATGGTACTGTGCCCCCTTTCCACAGGAGCGTTCGCTTGGGGGTGTGCGGCCGTAGTGTAGTTGGTCACTACTCCATATCCTGCAGGCAAAGTCCGCACCTCATTGCAGGTAAACTCTGACCCACGGTCCATCATGAACTCCTTGACGAAAGGACAGCGCAGATAATACTCCTCGATGCAACTTGCCAAAACTGGGCCGGTCTTCGTTCGGATAGCCCGCCCGTCTACAAACCCGGTGAGATTGTCGCGTGCATCGAAGATGTAGTTGCACCCATTTTCCCCCATTGGCATAAACAACAGGTCCAGGTGTTCAACCGCACCCACTTCCCTTTCCAACCTTGGGTGCAGGGGCTCTCCCGGCCTTTGCGCCGACCTTTCCTGGCAAGGTACACAGGATTGGCAGTACTTGATGACCATCGTCAGCATTCCATCCCAATGGTAGAGCTCACTTATCTTTGCGCATGTGGCACTCACACCTCTGTGCCCACCTGCTATACCATCATATAATGCCGCTATGATGTCCAACTGTCGGTTCCTCCTGCACACAATCCGCTTGGGATTCCCAACTTGCCGCTTTATGAACAAATGTCCATCTCTCACCACGTAGAGGTGCCTCAACTTCTGCGCCTTGTCGCTAGCATCCCTGTCCCTCATCTCACAGGATAAAAGTAGGCCCAGCTCAAGATAGATCCCGTCATATTCCTCTGCCCGGAATGCCTCCTTAATCTCCCCTTCTTCGAACTCGTCATCCTGGCTTTCCGGAATCAGGACCTCATCCTCCTCATGACTAAACGAGCCTCTCCGGTCAAAGTCTCCTTGCAGGAGCGTATTAGTGAGCAGATACATCCCTCCCATTAGCTGCTCATGTTCCTCTATCTGAGTAGGCCCTTCCTCTATTGTCCTCACCTCTTCCACCAAGCCATGTGTCCCTGCCAGGGCCAACTTCATCATCCACTGCGTGTCCTTGCCTCCCCACGGATCTTCTTCCTGAAATGGCTTAAGGATTAAATCGGCCTTCCGCTCATACTCTCTTGGTGCTATCCATATGGGATAGCTAACACAACTAGGTACTCGCAGCGCCCACTTATTTATATGGAGTCGCACATCTTCTTCTTGATCCAGGAACCCGTCAACTGGCGGGGTGTCTTCGATCGACCCCTGATCTGCACTGTCCCAGTTGACGCGGCTCAGGCCGTCAGCTCTATTCTTGTTCCCCGGAATCCTTTCCAACTCGAAATTAAACATCCAAATGTACGTCAACCATCGAGCGACGGTTGGGTCAGATGGTGTATAATTTTTTAAAAAGCAGGCCAGCGCCGTAGGGTCTACCCTCAATATAAATCTCATACCGAAGACATAATTCCGGAAGACCCTTAGACAATGGAGTACCGCGAGCGTCTCCTTCTTGAACAGGGAGTAATTCCTCTCAGTCGTATTAAGAGTGCGACTTTCGAATCTTAGCGGCCTTTCCTTTCCTTCGACATCCGCTTGGATCAAAACCCCTCCTAATGAAGTTGGCCCAGCGTCTGTCTCGATGATGAACGGCTTTTCTTCAGTCCCTTCATAATTTGGCGCCCCTAGCACCAACCCTCCTTCCTTAAACTCTCTCTTCATCCTGGCTACCGCTTCTTCCTGGTCTTCGCCCCAAACCCACTCCTGGTCCTGGCACACCAGCTCCCTCAGATGCCCGGTCTTGGCGGCGAAGTCTTTCACGAAGCTTCTCCAAAATCCGCAAGTGCAAGAAAGTTTCTCACATTCGTTATGGTCTGGAAAGGCATCGGTCATTCTAAGATCTTGTCTGCCTTCTTCACATCTGGCTTCCGGCCCTTCTCGTTGCAGACAAACCCTAGGATGGTGGCCTCCCTCATGCAGTGCTTGGACTTTGGCCCACTTGCAGTGAGGTTGTGTTCTTCTAGCAGGCCCAAGACTCGATCGAGATCCTGGATATGCCTCCAAACGAAGCGCCTCACTCCGGGCTGCACCTCATCCTCCTCTTTCTCCTTTGGCCCTTTGACCGCCAAGTCGTCGATATAGGGCTGAATGATGTGCAGACTGACTGTTTGCATTGACCCTGATCATATGTCTTTGCACCATTGCCACCGCATTCGTCCAACCCTGGGGAGCCACATTCATGTGGATTAGCCCCCTTGGCGTGTGCATTGCCGTCACCGGCCTATCGGGCGGGTATACAGGAAACTGATCATACCCGGAATAGAGGTCTATAAGTGAAATTATAGGCCTCCCCGCGCATGACTCTGACAGTGCATCTGCGTTCGGCAAGCCTCCTGCATCTCGCACCGTTACTGCGTTCAGCCGCTGCAAATCCTGTACCCACCGTAGCGTCCCGTTTGGCTTAATAAAGCAGAACCAAGGGGAAGCATACGAACCACTAGAGTAGCCAGCAACATGCATGCGCATCTTGCCATCCAGATAATCCACCACCATCTTCTCCTCATCAGGGTTTGGGTATCGCGCACCCCTCAAGTTCCAGGGCTCGTGGGGAACTGTGTGGATCCGGATCATCGGGATCTTGTCCACATCCAGCCTCCCACGCTGGTCGTCATTAAAGGCGTATGCGCGATGCCTTTTCTTTATCAGCTGCACCATCAGCATCCTTTCCTGAGGCGAGAGAAAACCTGGCTCCCCGACTATCAACTCTCCTTCATTTCCATCATTGATACAGCATGGATCCCTCAACGCCTGCTCTTGCATTCGCCGTATCAATCTTCGCTCCCGCTCGTAATAGGCCTCTTCATCTTCCGTAACGAGCACGGGAACAGGGCGGCACTTCTTATCTACCGTTCTGTACCGCCTTTGGGCGCCCTGCTTGAGTCGTCCCCTAAAAAAGGTCGGCTTGTTGTTTGCGCTTGCGCCATTGCAGGCCCCTTTCTTCCTCCGGGAGGCCGATAGATAAGTTTCACCTCTCCTGCCTGCGGGCATTCCAAAACATGCTCTCGCAAGGCCTTCATGGCCTCCGGGTCCGCCATCTCATGCGCCGCCACGATCTCCATAGCCTTACTTACATCCGTAAGGCTTAGTGACAGCACTTCCGCCCCACCTTCCTCCTCGGACTCCCCCGCGAGTCTCCGCCGCTCGTTCTTCGATTCCACATAGGTGAACGAGCCGGGGTTAGGCCTATTCTGTTCGCTCCCTGGCCCCATGTTCCGGCAGGTGACATCTTTGTAGTTCCCACAGGCTGGATCACTCAGGAGCAATATCATCGTTCCGTCGTGCTTGTTGAAGATCAGGGTCTCCGTCCTGCACATGAACGATCTGCCCAGAAGGATGGGATGGTCCACATCTGGCATGACGAAAAAGCACGTCCTTGCTCGCACCTTGCCAATTTCTATGATCACATTCGACGCTGTGCCGCAAAAAACTGCTTTGCAATTAGCCTCGTGCAGCACACCGTGATCTGCACGATCGATCTTCATCCCGAGCATGAGCGCATCTCTTTCCCTAATGATATTCATTTCGGCGCCCGTATCCATCATCGCCACGCACTTTTTCTCTTTTATTACCAAGTCCACCAGTCCGCATGCCGCGCACTTCCAGTCCATCCTCGTTCCAGCTTGTGTCCATCCCACTTCCCTGGGCAGGACGGCGCTCAAATGCACGTTGGGCACCAGCCTTCGAGACAATCGCCCCTTCAACTCTTCCCGGAGTCTTGGTGCGGATGCCAGGATGTCTTTTAAATTCATAAGGTCATTGTGACCTTCAAGGAGTCGGTCCACCATCCTTTCCACGTCAAAGTCCTCCTCCAGCCTGACGGTGTACTTCCTTTTCTGGGCACACCATCCTGTAGACCTGGCTCGGCTCTCTCCTGCGCCTCTTTTCTTTGCGCTCTCTGCTCAGCCCGCCGATCCTCCTCCTGACGGAGTCTCTCATCCTCCGTGTCGTCATCCTCTTCCTCTTCTTCCTGGACCTCAACCACCTCCTTTCTACGCTCAGGCTCAGGTCTCTTCCGTGGGGGTGCCTGACTTGGCGCTTGGCTTGGTGGCTGACTAGGGCCCACCTTACTTTGGCTCCTGGTTTGAGTTGCTTGCGGCGCCCGCCCGTGCGGGGTGGGCGGCCTGAACATCATTCCTGACCTGGGGCCAGACCCCTCCACGGCAACCCCGAGGCTACTCTGTTGTTCAGCCGCCGGCCCCAGCCCGGTCTCGTAGAGGAAGACCTTTGGGAGGTCGGCTCTCCACCCTCGGACTTCATCGCATAACTCTTTCAGCTTCCGCTGATACCTCCCTATTTTTTCCATCAAATCCTCCATCCTTTCCAGGGTGGTTACGGCCGGCTCCCCTTCATCCTCTCTCTCCTCGTCGTCTGACTCAACGATTATCGGCTCTTCCTTTATGGCCCCGGCCCTTAATCGTTGCGTAACCTCCTCGCTATCCCCCGTGATCTCTTCGATCCTTATGGCCGGGTCCTCTCTCTCCTGCCACAGTCTAAACATGGCCGGGGCGGTTGATGGCCCAGTCGCCGCCCGCCTGAGGGCTTCCTGCCTGATACCTCCCGGGGTCCTGGGGTCAATGTGCTCCCCCCACTTGTCGTATATATCCCCGTCCATACAAGAGGAAATCAGGCCCGCAAGCTCATCATCCCGCCGTTGCTGGCAGAACCGAATCGTGTGGCCTACAACACCACAATGCCAGCAGGTTGCGTTCCGCCAGTCGAAGCGGGGTCTCCCATATCCTTGGCCTCCTTGCTGGCTACCTTGGTCTCCTTGGCCCTGGCCCCCTTGATTGTTCCATCTGACGCCACGCCCTCCTCCATTTCGGCCTCATCCGCCACCCCCTCGGCCTCCTTGTCCCCGACCACCATTGCCCTGCCCTCCTTGCCCTTGGCCTCCTCCTCCCGCCACACTAGCCTGCGATGCTTGCTGTGAGGGGGGAGGTTGGGCCGTGAATTGGCCTTGCCTCGCCGGGAAACTTGGCGGCCCTGCGCTTGTTGACGGACCCGAGAATGGAACCATCTGTCCAGTATGGGCTTGGCCCCCTCCTCACGAGGTACAATGACTATAGCTCGGCCAGGGTGCCACTTGACAGTGTGGCACCCAATGTTCGCAGGCCGGGGGCGGCCGCATTGGCGTCGGCCCTATCGATATGGGCGCGGTTGCGGTGGCGACTGGTGGTGCAGCAATTGCCTGGGGGGCCTGTCCTTTGCCAGACCCTTGACCATCCAGCAACAGATTATGTTGCTTCCGCTGGGCCTTTGTAAGGATTTGTGACCCCGTTTCCTCCCCACCGTAATCCTCTTGCCCGGCGCCTTCATCCCCCACCTCTCTCCCTCGGCCTTGGACCTCGGCTACCGCCTTTCTCTGTGCCTCGGCATCCTGGCCATAGCCTAATGCCGCAAGCACATCAGTGACGATCCTTTTTACCCCCGGGGTCCCTGATGCAGTAGCGTCCCTTTCCTTTCTCTTCCTCCTTTGCAGGCCCATCTGATGTTGCTCTACCTGATCTAAACTCCCATCCTTCACTCCTCTGTCGATGGTGGCCCAGGTAAGCTTTGCGCTGCCTCCTCCATGACTTGTCAGTTCGGCTGCCTCTGACCCAGTAAGCAGTCCCAGAAAGATAGTGCATTGCCTCTCCTCAGAGATCCCGTGAACTTTCCTTGCCTTCTTCTTAAACTCTTGTACAAAGGCCCCTATCGTGGTAAGGTCATCCTTGTTCATTCCCTCAAGATCCGAGATGGTAAGCAGCCCATCACCCAGCCGATATTTGTGCAGCATGCTCTCCCCGAATCTTGCCCAACTGCCATGGGCGGCATCCACAACCTTCTGCACCTCCTATGGAGCATGTACCTCTTAATACGCTGGAATTTCACCTCATCTGACAATCCCACCATTGCCTGCTCCACCATGTCTAGCCAGTCTGAGACACTTTCCCCATCAAAGAGGAAGGTCTCAACCTTTGAAACATTACTCGAGGTCTTCTCATGTCGATCTAGGGCTGCGATGAGGTCCTCGATGGTCAGGATCCTTCCGGCACCATCCGATATACCGCCACCCTCCGGCATCTTGGTAGGCCTTCTTTTCCAATTTCCTGTTAAGAGAAAACCAAAGGCACTCACCTACTTAGCATCCTACTCCAACCTGGTCTAGCCCATATCTCCTACCTAGTCTCACCCTCGACGTGAGTACTGCCACCCTTTACGCTCTCGCTAGGACCGGGCAGCTCAATCAAATACACATATACGGGTGCTAACTTTCCCTTTTTATACTTAGTCCCTCATCACTTACCTTTTACTTCGATCACACTTATCATTCTCTTATGCCTATTTTCTCACTTGTACCCGGATGTCGTTCCACCAGGGACAACGGTAGGCTTCCGTTATCCCCGGCAACGCCTCCACCTGTCGAGCGCATCGGCCCGGCACTGCTCGTGGCAGCGCGGGACCCTCTCGGCCGCGTCACGCAGGAGTTGGATTAACCTTTTCGCGACCACACAAATGGAGCTTCCTTAGGCCGCTCCGGCCGAGTGCGCCAGCCATACCTCTCGCGAGCCCCTACAACAGGATAGGGCCTACGCGAGGCACAACTTACCTCCACCTTACGGAAGCTGTCACCTCCCTTCGGTGGGCGTATCCCTGTCGAGCTACCAGTCCACAGTACGAAAGCTACTCAATTGCAATCGCAGAGGTGGACCAGCCGAGGGCGTTTCTCGTTCGCTGTAGCATAGGGGGTACGCGTGGTAGCACGCCTATCGGACCCGCACGCGGACCGACACCTTGGGGGGCTGAAGTCCCAAGGGCGGTTCGTCGCCGGTCGGCTAGGACGTATCCAAATTACCATGCGTACACTACTCTACGAACACAAAGGGAACGCACGCACACACATACACACACAGAACGACATGGCACAAACAACGCGACGACGACCGTAGCCCCTCAGTAGTCGTCCCATAACCCTTCGACGCAAAAATCGGGTGGGAGTCGCGAGCGAGACTTCAGTATAAAAATCGCGCAGACGCAGGGCTACTCACATTTGACTCGGGATGCAAACGTGCGCAAGTGGTCGTAGTGATGGCGTACTATATGGTACCCACATCCATGCGGTCCTCGCTAATCTCGAGGGTCGCATTCGACACTCAAGTGTCGGCTGACACGCGCCTTGAGGGTTAATCTCTCGACGTTGGACAACTGCCATGCGCGGTTGAAGACCACACTCTCTTCTGCACCCTGTGTAGAGGGGTTGAGTAGACATCTTTAAGCTGTCGTGGCGGTCGAACGTCAAGGGGTTTGACTTTGACGGACGCCACAGACTATAACGTCCAACCAGGAAAACGCAAAAAGGAAGCTCACTCCACCCCCCATTTAGCTGATGGCCTTCTAAAATGGAAGGGGGTGGGTAAGCCAAAACGACGCGCGCGCGGAGGAAGCCGGAATCCTACCCATGGGCTACCCGACGTCCGGGATAATGAGGCCCGTACACGGACTCCCATAGGCTGACCGGGGCTAGTCCTCCGCCCACGTGCCGCTTCAAGTTAGCAAAACCCCAAGTTTACTGGCCGTACCACGCTCGTGGTCTCGCCGCCTGACCCATAACTTCTTTTAGTGCGGGATGCGACGAGTGTCGCGAGCGAACTTAGTAGAAGATCGCAAGGGCGCTGGACGTACACATACTATCTCGCTATGCAGCTCTACGCGAGTAACTGCGATGACGACGCATTATGTAGTGCCCACACCCAAAAGGCCTACTCTGAGTCAAGGGCTCACCTTTCGACGCTCAAGTGTTCGCTAAAGCGCGCGCAAAAAAAGGGGGGGTAACCCTCTAGCTGGCGCAAAATCGACCTGAGGGCCTTCCTGCCTTCTGCACCCTGAGGTGTCCCAGCGGGTGTGGGGCAAGGCGGCCCCTAGGGCAGGAAGGGGTTTGGAGTGGTGGTGAGTTGTCTGGCGCATCACCAGCGACACGCTAACCCTTCCGCCCGGAACTTTATCGTTCCACCAAGATGAATCGTAACAAGGAAGGGAAACAAGCACTTTTACCGTTTATTAAAGAGAAACCCCTCTCGTGTTAGGCTCGAGGCCCTTACTGCGCGGGTACTTCAGGCCGCGCTAATTCCTCACGTAGGTACACATTCACTCGCACATACATATACACAAGGGGGATAATTATGTGACGATCACTTCTCACAGTCATAGTGGGTCTCCTTCTAACCATACATATATACGCGACGGCAAGGCAGCCCAACCAAAACCCCAAGTCTCTGAACATACCTACAAGTACATCAAAAGTTAGACAAGAGTCCACACACTACACGGAGTCAACTCCAACCAGTTCCTATACTCATACCCCTCGCTTTAGCCATGCAAGCCCCAACCTCCAGCCAACCAACCTTAAATAAATACTCAGAACCTCTGTTAAATGGTCATTCAATAAAAGTCTGGGTGAAACCCTTAACAAACAAGAAGATCACCAGGGATAAAGCCTTTTAGGTTGAGTATGGAGAGCGAGTAGGAATTGAGTCGCGAACCGACGAATCGGCAACGGACCTGTTATCAGTGATAACATCAGTGATAACAGATGATGATCCTTGCAGGATCAAGTTGAACTAGCGCAAGTCCTAAATCAGATTGATCAAGTCGGCCTGTAACATAAGACAGGTCAACGCCCAAGACTAAACCCGTAAGCCTTATGCACACTATCTTCTATATGGTAATCTCATCTAACCTCCTAGTAGCCAACTAGGTCTGAGCCTAGTCCTAAGTCAGGGCTCGGAGAAAAGGTAGACCTTTGGTTGGGTTT